TACATAACGAGACATCCCCTCAAACACTATAAGAGCCAAAGTGGTGTGAATTCCTTATTGAAGGAAAGACAGCGGTGGGATTCTTTGACCCCCCTGCCTTGATAAGCCCTCTAAAGTCCTTATACAGCACATAAGCTTAGATGTTTTTGCTGCTTTGATGGGTAGCTCTTTGGATCTTAATAGGTTTTATTAACCAATGGTCTGCCTACTCATTTTACTTTAAAATCAAATGATTGTTTGATATTGGTTCTTTAACAATACAACTAAAACTATTATTTTCTCTGCTGATTCTTTAATAATTCAGTCAAATTAGAAAATGCACTCCATTTAATTTTTCTGCCTAGCATGCAGTTTGGCCAAAACAACTTTAAAGGCATTAGAGCTACTTCTCCCTGGTTTCCAATATATCCAAGATATATAACTATGGGTCGTGATGGTATTTGTCTCTGAAGAACAAATAGCATCCTAATACTTGTCCTACCTCCCAAGACTGTAAATGCAGACACAATCCAGCTTGTTATATCATCTTATAATAGGTTAGAAACAATGCAGCTTAATTTTTTAAATTAAAGTACCTATTCATAAGTTGATTTTATTTTTGTCTACTGTGTATCTACTAACTTTTCCACTAAACTTTTATGTAACTATTATTTTAAGAAGGGTCTCAGAAAAAACAGACTTTTTTGAAAAATGCATGCACCACCAGAACTACTTTTACTTATACATACTTCTGTGTCACATAGGACAAATGTTAAAAGATATGACAACTATTACTTACCTGCAGGAATACGTTGTTTCCCCACCTTTAAACACCTTGCCACAAAGCTGAGGGGTGCTACTCTGTCTTAGCTTTTCCAAACAGACATCTGGATCTTCCCCAAACAGATACCATTCCAGAGGGTAAAGTATAGTCTTTTGAATTATTTCTTCCTCTTTCTCTGGCAAAGAATCCATTTCATCAGAATATATATCTGGAATAACTTTTGACAAATGCTGAAGAAAGGCAGTGTAGAAATCCAATTTTTCATCCCACCACTGCAAGGAAGAAGAAGAGTATACAACAGACATTAAAACAGAAAAGAAGCAACACAAGAACTCAAGAGTACCAACATTTTGCATAACAGAAAACTATGACTGAAATCCTATTTTCTCTAGAATAGACCTGTTGAATCAGTGGGATTTAACTGTGTACAGACTAACCAGTCAACAATTAATTGAATAGGGCTACTTTGAGATCAACCAATAAGATAGCAGTAGTTGTTTCTACAAGGGTGAGAAAAAAATTATTCGCACAATAATTATATTAAAATTTTTGTTGGTTGAATTATTTTATCAGTGCTTTCCATGTAAGGAGTTACTGCTGCACACTTTTTAAACTGTTATGTCTGCTTATTTGCAGCTGCGATGAAAGAAAAGTTTCTTTTTAATGGGAACTTTTCAGACTGCTGCAGCTGACAATTATTTATTATTTATTTATTTGGGGTTCTTTTACCCCGCCCTTCTCACCCCGAAGGGGACTCAGGGCGGCTTACAGAAACAAGGCACAATTTGATGCCTGCATCATAAACAATCGTACACAAAATTACAACAATTCACAGTTGACATGCATGCATTATAACCATAAAATCAATAAAATCATTAAAACCAAATACAAACCCAGTTTCTCCTCTTACATGGTCAGCGTTTGTTAACACCTAGATCTAGTTTTTCGTTCCATTCATCCATCCTGCTGGTCTTACTTGCCTGATTGTCTGATTTAATTGCCAGAGTGCCCAAAGGCCTGGTCCCATAACCAAGTTTTCACCCTCCTCCTGAAGGCGAGGAGGGATGATGATGCCCTGATCTCCCCCGGGAGTGAGTTCCACAAGTGGGGGACCACCACTGAGAAAGCCCTGCTCCTCGTCCCCACCAGCCTCACTTGTGACAGTGGTGGGGTTGAGAGCAGGGCCTCCCCAGATGATCTCAGACTCCGGGGTGGGACATAGAGGGAGATACGTTCGGACAGATACACTGGACCGGAACCGTATAGGGTTTTGTAGGTCAAAACCAGCACCTTGAATTGTGCTCGGAACTGAATCGGCAGCCAGTGGAGCTGGCACAACAGGGGGGTGGTATGCTCCCTGTATGTTGCTCCGGTGAGTAATCTGGCTGCCGCTCGTTGGACTAGTTGAAGTTTCCGAACAGTCTTCAAGGGCAACCCCACGTAGAGAGCG